TCAAATGCTTGTGCTGTTGCAAATTCTGAAATTTTCTTTCAAATACAGATGAAAACATCTAAGCATTTAAACATTCCATAAATCAATGCGCATCATTTGGGTCTTATAAACTAATTCCAAGCAGATAGTTCTAATCCATGTGATTAGAAGACGTTTCTCTCCTTTGATACCATATTCTATAGGTATGTAGGTTGTGGTTCTCATGACTCAAGACTCTGTTATGGGCCTTGTATCCTTGCTGGCCGCTAGCTCCTGTAATCACCTATAGTGAAATTAGCCCTGTGAGGAGCTGCAGAGCCTAATTAGCCCACAGCAGAAAATAAAGGCACTTATCTTGATTAACACAAAGTGCACTGACAGTGGAATACATTTTCATGTTTTATGGAAGTGATCCAAAAGGAAACATCCAGGTCAGAAAACACAATATTCCAGTTGTGGACAGGATTCCTTATGACTAAACACTTCCATTTCAATTTTCTAAATTAGTAGTGAGAGTTTGCAAGAGACATCAAATAAGTTTTGCAGAAAGCTTCAATTTTCTGTTGCTAGTATTTTTCACTGAAACATCATTTTGGCCCAATCCCCAGTCAATTCCATCACAGAACAGCCCTGCATGAGAAGTTCAACGTGGCCTGGGAAAAGGCAGCCCAAGGAAAATCAATGCTGGCCTTAGTGTGCACCTCCCTCCCTTGAGCTCCACTTAGAGAGAAGGAATCCTTACTGCAAAGCCCTGTAACTGGCCCAGTGTCTGGTATTCAGATACAAATCTTTCAGTCTCAGCCCTCTCTGGTGCCCCCCAGGCCTGTGACCTGTAAGAACCTGTCAGGGAACCATGTCTGCATGAAAGTTTTCCCTCTTGTGCAGATATTTACCAGTATCTGGAGAGAGTTTTGAAATCTTCAAGTTAAAAATGCACAGTCATGTATGCTAAAGATTTGCAAGTCAGTCAGGATGTTCTACTGCATAGGTGGCTGAAGGCACATTATAAATCTTTTTTGTGATCAGCATTTCTGCTTAACATTTCCTTTTATAGAGAGGTGAGAGGTGCAAAAAAGTTAGGTACTTAACTAACTGAATGTTTCACATGGATTTTATACTGAGTCATTTCAGAGAAGCTATAGACATGATTATAGATTGTCCCTTTACACGATAATTTTATTCTCCCCTTAGTTGAAGGTGGTCTTTGCTCTGCTGCCGTGAGTGTTTCACCATTTACTGGTACCCAAGTTTCATGTTCTTGTACTCAGAAAAAGTGAAAAATAAAATTGTTTCATAAAAAAGTTTGCTTGCTATGCACACACAAACACTTTCAGTCTTTGACAAATTAATAATTTTTCCTATTGTGAAAGAATGACTATGTTTCATAAAAGTCTAGAGAACCTAATTTATTTTTGAAATGGGTTAAAGACTTAGAGTAGTTTGAAAGAATAGTGTATATGTGGATGTTCTCTGGTTAGTATAGTTGAAACATTCTTATTTCTCATGTACATTATTCCTCACTTGTTCCTAAAGATTTTTAAACCTGTGTCTCAGTTAGCAAAGTTTGCAGACCCTCTAGAAAATTACTTAGATTTATGAAAAGGGTCTTACATAGAGAACCCCTCAGAAATCTTTATATTAGTTCAGAGGCAGCTGTGATTCATAGCACAGTAAAGATAAACTGACCTTTTAAAGGCAAATATGTTTTGCTGATTACTCTACAGAACTAAATGAACAAAAGTCAAAGTAAGCTGTTATATAACCACCTCTTTTCTAAGCCTTGACTGAGCCTATAAGAAATTTTTTTGCCCAGGTATGTGATTTTCCTTTGAACTTACATGCCGCAGATACTTATATATTGTCACAATATTCTGCTCTCTTCAGTACATTTTTTCTGCAGCCACAAATGCAGATTTGTCTAGTTTACCCTTTCACTGTTCCTAGAAGCAATAAAGAAAATGTTGCATTACCAGAAAACTGAGTGATGTCTGGAAAAGTTAAGAATTATTAATTAACCTTTTAAGAGTAATGCAGAATTTTGTAACTGGCAAGAGAAACAAGAATAGAAATTATAAAAGTAATATTGTCATCCTCCACCATCAATAAATGCAGTCCCTCTACATTTGTAGAAGAAAAAAGGGCTTCTTGCTAGCTGCTTTGACATGGAGATGAGATTGTGGGTGATAGAGTTTGATGAGGTCTCACGAAGAGAAAATATCCATGAAAAGTACATAGTCCAAGTTGCTTGTGTTCACATTTTAGATCTTGTGGCCATGTCCACATTCCTTTATGGGTCTGAGGGATGATAGTCACATAATGCCTCATAGAGAAGGGTTAATCCCACCTCATTCTTCGTGCTTTGTGTTCTGGTACTTCTAAGTTAGCTGTCTCAACTCTGATATTTATAGCTCATCTCTGCAGAGGGATGACAATACTCTGTTAGGATATCTCTCCTGTGCTTAGGGCTGTAATTTCTACTATGTTTCACATACAAGACTGAGTTTAATTGACTAAGCTGTCCTGTTGAGTGTCCTCCTGGGCTGATGACGATGCAGAGGAGACCACATAAAGGTGTCAATGCCTTCCTTTAGTATTTACCCAGCCAGGGAGAGATCTGAGTACTGTGCTCATCTCACCCTACAGAGATTAAAAATTCTCTCTTCCTAAAGAGTCCAGTACTGATCCACAGAGCTGAAGAAAGCAAGCGCACTGGGACAGCAAGTTCCATCCTGCTTGTGGAACTGGTGTGGTGTACATTTAAGAACACAAAATTCATTTCTGTTAGGAAAAGTCAGGGAGGAAGGGAAAAGCCTCTGTAGCCTCTTGGTTGAATTCTAGGAGGACAGGCACAGGATCTTTTCTGCAGCAAGGCTGACACATGCCAGTCTACATCAACGCTTGGTGGAAATAACACACAGAATAGGCTTCCAGCTCCTTAGGATGAAGTCACCTAGACCAAGACACTGATCTCCTTTACAGCTGGCAGAGGCAGAGCTGTGTGATTCCAGGGAAAAGCCCAACACTCTCCTTTCAGGGACCTGCTAGGCGAAGAGCTCTTTCAGCAGAAAGGATGTAGCACTTGGTTTATGTGCTCCATATTCACTAAAATACCATTTGAAGTTCTTCATAAGTTTATATAAATGAACATATTTATATAAATAAGTTGTTCTTTATAAAGCTATATGTGACTTCCTTAAGACTAGACCCCATGTCATGGCAAAATCAGGTCTCCAGACATTTGACTAGTATAGAATCTTTTACAATAACTTCAGGAGGTTTAGGACAGAGAAGCCTTGTGAAAGCAGAGAGAACTGTATATTGTTCGGTTTTTCTCCAAGTCTTAAACTTGTATTAATTTTTTTCCCCTATTATCAATCTGTGAAGCCCTTGTTTGCCTCTCACTTGTCTTCTTCCAATTAAGCCTCTCCAAAAAAAATTACTGTTAAGTATGTCTGTCCAACAGACAATTTTCCTTCTCTGTGGAGACTGTTACACGAGCTGGCTCTTTAGGTTGCAAAGAGAATGCTCTTAAAATAAAGGAAGTAAATATACTTATTGGACAAAAAATGTTCATTACTTTTGTCAGGTCTAGGGAGAGATTGGAGACCTGATACTCAGGGAACAAGATAAGGCAGAACCATGACGCAGAGAGGCATTTCAGGTTAACACGGTAGGCTAAGAACACCATCAGGAAAGGCCAGGAGATGATAAAAAAATATAAGCACATTTTTCATTGATAATGCAATTTGAGAAAAAGAGTTGTTACGCTCTTGGATCACTGCCTGATTAGGGAGCTTTTCTTTCTTGCAAGTGGTGGACAATTCTTCTCAGAGAGCTTTGGCATGTATCAGAAAGTAAACAGTAAATGCTCAATACTTTCCCTCTTCTCTTTCTGATTGACGCTTTTAACTTTCCCTGAAATACAGATGCAATATTCTGATGTGGCAGTAGGTAACTCATCTCTAGGGAGAGAGCAATAAACAGCTGCTCCATAATGTAACTGCAGAAAATTAGAATATATTCCACTTGAGTATCCTTTTTTGTATATAGGTTCAGTTTAGCAGATCAGTTTTGTTTCTCAAAAAGCACAGTTTCAAAATTTTTGCAGGGCAAGAGCAATAGCTTTTAGGTAACACACCATTTGTTAATTTACTGTTTGTTCTAAACACGAAACCAAAGTAATGCCTTTGATACATTGAGAATAGCAGGATTCATCCAGCCTTTTTTTTATGGAATTCTAAAATACCCAAACCTCGACACTTTCAGTAAACTGCTCTAAAGAGGATGTCTCTTTGTCACTCTATAGGAAACCTCACAAGCTTATGATGTTAATATTGCCTTTATAAGCCTGAGTATATCTATTTAGCTATATTCTAATTAAAATCTTCTTGAAATTGGTATGTTTTTTCACTTGAGTCACATCCATCAAATTTCATTATTCAGATGCAAAACCACCTAAACACTGAAATATTCCTGAACTCCTTTCCGTATATGCTAATTGCTTTATACTACATCTTTTACTTAAATGTTTATATGATTTATGTCTATGAAATATAAATTAAGGAGAACTCTTCTGGAGGATATTTAAGACAACATATTCAAAGTGACAGAAATACGGTTACAATTTTAAATAACTTGTGTGTTATCTCATGCTAAATGCATTATGACACAGGTGCCCTTGATGTGTTTTTTACTTGCAATGCCTCTTTCAAATTGCAGTGATTTATCCTTTCCTCACCCTTTTAAATAAAGCACAGGAATATGATATAACAGAAAATGGGACATACCTTGAAATAGGTTTTCATACAGACAAGGAGTAGTAAGAGAGAGCCTGTTCAGCAGGGATCATGTTGAACACAAACCGACTCTCATTGCGTTGCTATCCTTTGCATGACTGAGGGTATTGACTTTCTTTACTAAACTTTAGTGATATTTTATATAGGAATTGAAAAGATAACCAATTTCTTTTTCCTGTTTTTCACCTCATGCTGTCTCCAACCTATGACATCTTGGTTTGGCAGCCCAGTCATCCCATAGTGCCTATTCCAGAAAATGAAACACTCAGCTCTAAGGAGGTAATCGCTTGACATTTAATAAGTTTAAGCATTTGCATGCTACCTTTATCTTTTATTTATGTAGCTTGCACAGAACTGATGAGCAAAAATGTGCTGAGCTCCCAAATCTGCTTTTGTCCAGTGCACGGACTAGATAAGCATTAATTATTCTTCATGATTAATAAAGAAAAAAACTCCACAGTTGTTTTGAAGACTGTTGTGTTGAGTTGCTTATGTGAATTTGGACTAACACTAGCATTTACACTTCAGGTTCCTAATATGTGCTGTTGGGATGTTGCCAAGTGGGATTTGTTAAATTATGCAGTTAGTCCTATTTAAATCACACATTCTACAGGTCACAGTCTTTGGTATATCTTCTGTTTTAAATACCAGATACAAAAACTACCAGAAGCACTTAGGAGTATCAGATATTGAGAATCTTGTAAAGGACTGGCAAGAGAACACAAAACAACATGAAATGCAACTTTGCCCGGTGCCAAAATTAATTGTCAGTTTTATTTGACTTTGAAGAAGGATACAAATCTTCTTGAAGTCTAAATTCAGTGGCCAATCTCTACTATTTTTACATATTTTAATTCTAGGACCATAATAGTTATCACTCTTGGTAATTCATTAAGTTGGAGCTGAAGCAATCTGCCTATGCATTATCATCTTTTCTCTTGAGACAGAGCATATAAATGTTTAAAAGGTTCTGCTGGCACAGGCAAGTCTTTTCCAATAAGGTCATGAACATGAAGCTGAATTATAGCCTCAATGTTGGAATAAACATGTGTAATTTAATTAACTATCATGTGCTTTACCGTAGGCTTTGGAATGTAATAGAACATCTATCATTAAAGTACCTTTTCACTATTATTTTAGAAATTCACATAAGAAAGCATAACTTATTATGAATAATAGCAGTATGAGTACATTTATGACAGAAAAATGATTTTTTTACTACCCTGGCTAGGTACCAGATGCATGCTTATGCTTATTTTTTATGAGTTTAACAGTATAGGTAACAATGATAATTACACTTTTGTAACACAGTTTATTTTTAATTTATTATTTTAAAACTGAATTCTAGTCTTATTAGGAGCAGCAAAATGAACATATAAATAAATGAAATGGCTGTTTGTCAATAATTGCTACCAAATGAGTAACCTTCTTGTTGTTTTGAAAAAAACAGAGAGAGTTCTGAGGTCAAACCCTTTACATGTTAAAAGCAGAGGGCTTGCCAGAACTCTGAGTTAGTTGACCATCTGACAATATATCCTCATGGTTCATCTCAGTTTCCACTGAAAAAAAAAAGGTTTAAAAAAAAAGAGAAAGGAAAAAAACAAGGGTAGAAAGCATCTCACATGTTAGGTTGGTCAATGGACTGCTGCTCGGCACCAGGAGTATATGAATCATGAACATAGCCTCTTATTCTCACGTGTATCACTGGCCCTTCTGTGTAGAGGTTTAGGGACAGAGGGGTACTTTATGCCTCTTTTTGTTTGAACTTTCATCACAGCCTTCCAACCTCCTCCCTTTGTCCTTGTCTTTTACCTTTCTGCTTGTTTCTACACCATCAATCCCCTTTCCTCTGCCTCCCAGGAGCCACTTCTTGGTTCTCTTTAAAGTAGTTTTTGTGGTTTATGCTGTGTATCTATCCAAAGTAAGACCCAAGATATCCTCACAAAATGAAGTTAAACAACAAATACCTTGCTGAGCTTCTCAGATAGATTGCCTTTTTCCATCTCATCTGTAAAGTTTCTGAAATACTACTGAAGTAAAGGTGTTTCGTTAGAGGGTGGTGAGAGGGACTGAATAGTCTGAGGGTAAATTTGTTGTTGAGATGAAACAGGTTTGAACATCAGGCACTTTAAAATGTATGTACATATGTATATATATGGCTATGTATATATGTGCTTTATATAAGTGTGTGTGTATATATATATATGTATGCATGTGTATATATATACAAATGTAGCACCTGAAGATGCAGCTGATTTTCCCCTATTTGAAAAGAAGTTAGAGGAAAGCAAACAGCTGGATCCCCACTTTTCATTCTTCTTCTCTACATTTCACATATAGAGGGAAAAGCTTTGCAGGTATAATAGAAAGATAGATCTGTTCAAAGAGAACACTTCTGAGAAATAAGACACATAATTTAACTGTTACATTATTAAGATCAGAAAGTGGAGCATCTTGTACTGATATAGTGAATTTAGACTACGGTGACCAAGATATTCTTGAAAACACGAGGTTGTAGTATGTTCTGAATTGGCAACAACAGCAAAAGTGCAAAATTCCTTTGGTCAGAGACCAACTAGGTCTGTTCGAAGGCAGATAAAACATGTAGCACTGCCTTCTAAATTTTCCTTTGTATTTTAAACAAACACTTTGAACAGAATTTCTATCAACCAATTTATTAAAAATCTTAAATGTACTCCAATAGTAGGAACATTTGTACCATGACCTTTAGAATAACGATCTCTGATAAAATTGTGGTTTCATTTATAAAAACCAAAGACAATCAACTAGAAAGAAGAGGATTTATCTGGGTTGTTATCAGTGCTCTTCGTATTTGCCTCGGTTAACATCTTTTTTGGTGACGATCATTCGGCACTGTTAGCTGGAAGAAAATAATTAGCATTAAAGTTAAAACAAATGCATCAGATATCGTTTTGTAACTTAATATGACTTTACAGGTGGACATCAGTCTGCATGTAGATACAGCTGGAAGAATTGTGTAAGGCTTACCACAAGCTGGTCAGGAAATAACATGAAGAGATGACACATTTTCTGTTTTCTCTATTAAAATTCATAGAAAGCCTTCTCCAATGAACTTTTCAAAGTATTTATAGAGAATGTGATATCTAATTTTTTTCCTCCAATTTTTATTCTCATTTGCAGCAGTAGGAGGTGTCCAGGGGACACCATGCTGGACATGTAGAGACTGAGCAATACCTTTTCATGTGTAAGGGATGGCAGAGAAAACAAAAACATGTCTAGAGACGACCCTCTTTGTTCATTCTCAGTCAAGAAGGACTGAACAAAGCCATCTGTTTCCCTTGAGATCTCTTGCTGGAGACAGAAGTATATGGGACTGATTCCCAGAAAAAGATCAACATCTATGCTATCTTGGACACAGACAGGAAAGCAACATAGAGCCAGGAGAAGCTCAAAACATTTGGGACACTCTTCTTAGCTGTCCTGAGGGTAGTGGCTTCTTTGAGACATGTTGCTCTTGAGTTGTCTCTGAAGAATCACCAAATTTTCACCATTTTCTCTTTCATGGGGTTGGTTCTTCAAAGTTGTGTGTTATGCCGCTTTCTCCTTTCAGTGTGGTGAAAAAAACAAGGTATACGTTGGTTGATGATTTTTAAAATCACAATATCATTCAGGAACCTGTATTGTTCTTTCTAATTTAGGAACCTGTCTTGTCAAGGAACAGTTTATACAGAATTTATACTTCATGAGTGTAAAATGATTCAACTCTCCACCTAATTTAAAATGTTGTTTTTATTGGTGAAGTCCTGTTTGGATGATAAGAAAAATTCTGTCAAGTTATAAGACCAACATTACTCTTACTGCTGTAATAAGAACCTTATGACTGTCCTACAGTCTACACCCTCACCAAAATGCTTTTCTTTAGATAAAATTATGTATAGGCTCACACTTAACTTCTCCCACAATGAAAGACAGTGTAATTTACGCCATTCTGAAAAAGAATGGGTGGGCAGATGCTCTGTGAAATGTAAGCACCTCCTTGACCTTTAGGAAGGAGTAAGAGAAAAAGGAAAGGTGCTGATAGTTTCTACTTAGTAATTCATATTCTTTTCCTCAAAGCAAAGTATTCACTGGGAAAAAAACCACCACAGTTACCTTTGTTTTCAGAGCAGCATTCTATTCTACATGTAAATTTAGCTTAATTTTGTAACAGCTTGAAGCAAATGAGATCTGTGTCTTCCTTGTGAAAACAGGAAAATAAATAAAGGACATTCTCCTCCTTGTGAAATCTTTCTCTGCAACCAGTGCTTTTTATGAGACCTGAAGTATACTGCTTGAAACATAACTAAGGCATATACCAGTAATTTCTGATACCTATTGTCTTCCTTTCAAATAAACCCAGTGTTTGCCCAGGTTATGATGTGTGAATGATGTGTGTGAATCATTTTCAGGATTGTATTAAGTCAAAGTCTTTAGAAAGAACATGGGACATCTGTACCCGTATAGTCACAAAAAGACACTGCATGCAGGTGCTGAAAATATATACTCATTACCCATATTTATACATGACTTGTGAAATCCCAAGTCTATTACACAATTACATTAGGTTCATATAATCTTTTGCTGAAGCTGTTACTCTGACTTATCTGTTTGCTATTCCTGAAAGACTTGCAATAATTTTTTGAGGTAACAAAATCATCTGTAAGGGCAATATTCATGCGAAGACCCCATTAAAAAAAATGCTGATTCCTTTGAGTTCAGTGGTGACAATGAGGGTTTTAGTGCAAGAAGATCCATTATCTATTTATTTATCTATTACAAGGGGAGACAATTAATCTGCCCTGCTCCACTTTAAGGAACTTTAATAGCAGAAGTTCTTGAAATTTGAAAGTCTATGAACATGTCAGTAAGGTCCAAAGTTCTGTTATATGTTTCTCGTAATCTTTGTTTACTTAAGGAGTGTTCCTGGACAGAGGTAAACATTAGTATTAATCATTGATAGATTCTACATATAAGAAGAAAATGAACCCTATTTTATGAGAGCCCTTGTACCAAAGAACTTATGTAAGGGGTTTTACGTTAGACCAAAGGTGCTGAACCATGTCCAGAGAAGGGCGACAAAGCTCGGGAAGGATCCAGAGAGCAAGTCTTATGAGGAGCAGCTGAGGGAACTAGGATTGTTTAGCCTGGTGAAAAGGTGGCGGAGAGGAGACCTTAACCCTCTGTACAACTGCATGAAAGGAGGTTGTATCAAGGTGCGAGCTAGTCTCTTCTCCCAAGTAAAAAGCAATAGGACAAGAAGAAATGGCCTCAAGTTGTGGCAGTGAAGGTTTAGATCAGATATCATAGAATCATAGAATCATAGAATCATAGAATCATGGATTCATAGAATCATAGAATAATTTGGATTGGAAGGTATTTCAAAGATCATCTAGTTCCAGCCCCCCTGCCATAGCAGGGACATCTCCCACTAGATCAGGTTGCTCAAGGCTTCATCCAACCTGTCCTTGAACACTTCCAGGGATGGAGCATCCACAACCTCCCTGGGCAACCTGTTCAGTGCCTCACCACCCTCAGGGTAAAGAACCTTTTCCTTATATCTAGTCTAGGTGTTTATATCTAGGTGTTTATATCTAGTCTAGGTGTTTGACCACTCCTATGATAAAATAATGTTTTTCCTTATGGCTAGTTAAAATTTCCCACTTGTTGCCCCCTTTTCTTTATCCATGCAAATCTGAACAGTCTATAAACCCCACTTAAATTACTGGAGAGAGAAAATAGATCTCCCTTAGCCTATTTTACAGGTTAACCAAGCCCTGTAGGCTCCTGTCCTATGTCTTATGTCTTTCCCAGAAATCAAGGAACACTTGTAACCATTCTGATGGCCCTCCATTGACTTTTTTTTTTTTTTTTTTTTTTTTTCTGTTTGCTTGGCAGCTCTTTTCTATAGGGAGGGCTCAATAATGGAAACTAATTTCCAGATGCAGGCGCACTACTGCCCGGCAGAGGGGAATAATAACTTCCCTTAACCTCCTGGCTGTGCTCTACTTAATGCAGCTGTATATGAGGTTATTCATCATCATAACAAGGGTGGACTGACCCATGTTCAGTTTGGCATCAACCAGACCTTGAGTCCTTCTCTTCAGAGCTGCCACCCAGCCAGTGTGGCCTGTACCACTGCATGGGGTTGTTCACTTTCTTTGCCTCCCTTGTTCCCTGCCAGATGCAGGATTTTGTATTTGCCTTTGTTTACAAAGCTCCTGATAGTCTGTTCCTCTACTTTGACAAAGTCCTCTGGGATGGGAGCCGTACCCTCATCATATCAGTCCTTCCCTCCCCTCCAAGCTAGCAACACCTGCAGACCTGGACATGTAGGCTTTCCTACCACCCAGGACCCTGGTGGAGATGCCACCCTAACATCCTCTGAAATGCCACTGTAACAGACGCTTTGAGCTGTTGACTATTATCTTTTTAGACCTTTTTAGACTAGTGGTCTAGCTAGTTGTTCCTCCACTCTGCTCCTTGGTTTGGGTACCAAGCAACTGTAGGAGACTGTGTTGAAAGCCTTGCTAAGGTAGTAAAAAACACCAATGCCCTATGAATGGCATCGACCACATGCTCTTTCCTCTCAGGATGTGGTCCAAAAGAGAAGTGGAAACACAGAATGAGTCTGAAATGTTCTCTAACGTGTGTTTAACCAAGGTAACACTTCTACTTCTTGGCTGAAATTTCCTATGTGCAGTGAGCTTCCTCCAACATGTAAATGCATAAAAAATCATCCCCAGTTCAGTAAGCAGAGTTCTAACAGTGCAGGCAACCAATGTTTTAAAAAAGCAAGGTGCTGTATAAAGTTGTCCACCGATTTGCAAAACTGTGCCTGCTTAACTTGCCTGCAGTTTTTATCTTCCTCTCCACTTCATTTCACCTTTTTCCCCCTGCCTTTTTCTGCAGGTTGCCAATGAAAGAGGTTCTGTTTAGCTATGGCAGTGAGTATTACTATTTTTCTGACTTGGTTACAGCCACACTTTGAATATGTAACTGTTTCTTTAGTGTCACTTTAAAAAATATTTATGGTTTTGTTTAAAAAGATGATAAGATGCTTTAACTATAAAATTTAGTGTTTAGATAATAAGCTGTCTATGGTCGGTGATTTTCTATAAATAATTACCAATGCAGAATAATTCTACTTCTTAACATCACAGAATGAAGTCACAATTGAATTAGTTTTAAGTGGGATGAAATCAAACATTTGGAAGACATTGTGGTATGGCCTCGAATTAGATTGTGAAGTAACGTCATTGAAATAATATGAATATTATTTTATGTTTGAGTGCATAACCACATAGTGCCATTACAGTGAATGGTTTGCTAGTGTTAAATAACACTATATTGCAGATAATGCAATATGCTTGAGAGCAGATACAGTGTAGTACTTAACGAGAGAGGCCAGCAAATAGGTGATATAGAAAAGTTCAAAATGTTTAATGCTATTTGTTTTGTTTTGGTCTTCACAAAATAAGGTAAATTATGACTAAAAATCTATATCAGTTACTGTTAATAATTTGGGAGTAGGATCATGGAAAGGAAAAGAACATTCCTTTAGGGAATACTGAGGTAAATTGCAGCACAGCCCAAGGGAACTTACCATTAAAATACTTAAAGTGATTTCTCAAACACTAGTGAGTAACAGCTTGAGTAAATTCCCAGAAAACTGGAGAAAGGGAAACACAGTGCCATATCTAACAAAAGAGGAAAGGCAAATCTGAAGAATTACAGAAAAGTCAGCTCTAATTTCATTTCCAAGACACGGGAACAAGATTTTAAACTAGCTAGTTGTAGACATCCAGAGAATAGTAAGGAGATAAGAGGACTTTCACAGGGAAGCGTCAGAAACAAATCCTATCAAGTTGATCTCATTTCCTTCTTTGACAACAGAACAGATATAGAGAATGTGTTTGATACAGTGTCTCTTCAACACAGTCCCACTTGACATTCATAAGCAGGCAAAGTAGATATGAATTAAATTGAATTCACATAAGGTTAATGTGCAACTGGTTGGAAAGCTGGACCCTGAGAAAAATTATTTGCTACCAGAGTAGGAGAACATCTTACACAGGCTTCCACAATACTGTCTTCTAGCTCTAGTACTATGAAACATTGTCATTAATGTCCTGCTCAATCACATGGACAGTAAGCTTAACAAATTTACAGATAATGCCCATTTGGGAGGACTTGCAAGCAGCTTGGAAGGCAAGATTAGAATTAAAAAAATGTCACTTACATTAGAGGAATGGCTTGAAATCAGTATGATAAAACTCTTTGAAGACAAGTATGAAGAAATATGAAAAGCACAGACAGAAAATGAATGGCAATAATACTGCATGAGAGAACTTAAGGATTCCAGGGGACCACAAACTGAATCTGAGTTGAAGAGGCTATGACCTTATGAAAAATGCCATTCCAGGGAGATGTTGAAGGGAGTGCTTATAATATAATGGAGGTAATTACTTGTCTCTGTTCAGTATTAGTGAACAATCAGTTGTGTGGGATGTGGGAAAGAAATGGCAGATCTAGAAAAAATTTAAATGTTTCAGTGTCCTCACACAGAAGAAAAGAATGACTGAGTAGAGGCACAGGATTTTATATATCTTTTTAATGGGCTTTTATAACGGGATATTAGTCACTTCACCTTTCCTGAGAGTAGGAGAAAAAGAAATGGGCGTAAATTTCAGGGAAA